AGAGAGAGAGAGAGAGAGAGAGAGAGAGAGAGAGAGAGAGAGAGAGAGAGAGAGAGAGACACACACACACACACACACACACACATATATATACTGATAATGAGTGAAGTAACCCAGTGTGTCTGTGTGGGAGGCGACTGCCCACAGACACATGGGCCCGGAGCCATTTTGTTGAGTAACAAAAACAATGTAAGATTTGCAGCCGGTAGGTGGGGGCAGCACACAGATCATAAGCTGAGAGATAGCACGAAATGCTGTGTATCAAATACAATACAGCATACTTCAGTGGGTGTCAACTCATTACATCATCATCCTCATTACAAAACATGTGGCACGACAGAGCAGCTTCATGTGGAAAAAAAAAAATCAAAACAAAGCACTTCAGGTCGACTGCCTACTTAAATATTGAAATGAATAATCGTGTTTTATAACGTAAAGGTTATTTTAATTGTTTTCCCACACATGCAACTGAAAGAGGTGAACACTATCAGCTGTACAGGGTTTTTTTTTTTTTTTTTTTTGCCCTTCAATAAAATAATACATTTGCTTGATAATCCCACCAGTCACAACATTACGGACATGATCCAAGAGAAGTCGTTGAAAAATTTACAGTTTTAACACAAGGTCATAGACCTCCATCAAGGTCAAGTAGATGACTGTATTTATCATTAACTATTTGATTAAACATGTGCTACCATACATAAAATAGTACTACCGCCGCTAATTACAATAATAACAATAATAAGAAAGTTCCGCCCATGCACACATTGCGCTAGACTTATGCGGGGCATGAAAATAAGGCCCAAAGTCTAAACATGAAGGTACACAACATTTTGGAGCAACCACATGTCCAATAAGAACACAGCATTTCTAATATGTACTTTATGTCCACACTTGATCTGCTCCTTGGAAGCTGCGGGCCCAAAGCTCTTGACACCCAGCGAACCAACAGTCCCATCTCCCGCTGAGCTCTTGCACCTCAGTGGCGATGCCTTGCCTGCGTGTATGCACGGCGAGCACCCGTTGAGTAGGTGGGTCTGCTGCGAGGCAGTGGGAGAGGTGGCAAAGGGGCAGATGGAACACAGAGGGAAGTTCAACCGGCAAACACGCAGCGAGGAAGGGAGGGTGGAAGGATGGGGGCTTGTGACGGCGGATACATGGGGGAGTTGAGGCTCTCGGGGTGTGGGTGAAAATGATATCAGGTGCAGGGAGGACTACAGGAAGGGAGCATGGGAGGAAGGATGCAGGGAGGGAGAAGTTTACTCATGACCTTCAACATGTGACAAAGGAAATGTTGTACAGTGGTACTCCGCATATTCATCTATGAGTTGATTTTTTTTTTTTTTTTTTTTTGAAAAACATCTTCCATTACATACAGAAAACTCTCGTGCATGTGTGGGTGTGCATTTGCGTGCGTGTGGGGTGGTGGTGGTGGTGGGGGGCACTCCAGGTAAAACTGTATTGACCCGCCTGTGCTCCCATGTGATAAATGTGGTCTTGCTGTAATGTGAAGAAAATTTGTACTTACTGCAAAATATATATATATATATATATATATATATATATATATATATATATATATATATTGTAGTATTTATGAAAACTAAAGATTACCGTGACCATTTTTCCCCCCCAAATGAAAGTGCATGCGGTTGCATTGACCAAATGTAAAAAAAGAGATCAAACAGCACCAATCCCCATGTTGTCCTACCAATTCATCTTCATTGCTCTTATCTTTTCTGTGAGCGTGCAATGGGGTATAATTATGAGTGTATAATTCTTTTCCATGCACCTGTGTATGTTTTTATATGTGTGTGTGTGTGTGTGTGTGTGTGTGTGTGTGTGTGTGTGTGTGTGTGTGTGTGTGTGTTACACATGATAATTACACAGCAGTGGACCAGTGGTGGAAGACAGTAAATTAAGTAGAGAATGATTTAGAGCCGGTCATCGGGGTGGGATGCACACTGAGAATAAACACTATGTGTGTGTGTGTGTGTGTGTGTGTGTGTGTGTGTGTGTGTGTGTGTGTGTGTGTTCTGTACACACATTTGTAGCCAGTATGAAGTGGCGGGGAGAGAAATGTGTGCAACCAAAGAGGTCATGCAAAAAAAAAAAATGTCTGCTATGGTAGCTGCAGCCGCACACTCAAAAAAACTGCAAAAGCCACAATGAAAGTCGCATCTCGCTATTGAAAAAAAAAAAGTTTTCAGATTTTACGAGGTGTCCCTGCCTTGTGGAAGGGCAGCCGTGGACTATTTTTGTGATGTTGTCCCAAATATTCGGATGGATGTCACTCTTCAAGGAAGTCATTGGGTGTTCTACATGTCAATCATCGTGGATTGAAGTATATCAAGCGGAGCCCTGTGGAGCCGAGTCGGTGCCATGTGGTGCTTCAGTAATTTTGTCTTTCTTGTTAAATGTTACGCTTAAACTTGTCTTTCAAGTTTTCAGGCAGAAATTGAGTTTTTATTTCTTTATTTTTTAAATCAGCGTACCTCCTCCTCCTCCTCCTCTTCTTCCTCCTTTCTGGAGTCATTTCTGTTTGGGCCAGCGTGGCCGGGTCCGATTTGTCACCCTCAAACCTGCAATTGTATTCAAGGCCAAATTTAGGGGTGGGAATCCAAGGGTGGGCTGTCTATGTGTCACACAACAAAGCTGCAGCTCAAGGGTGTAGCCCTCTCCCTTACATCCTCCCACCTAACCGCCTGGCATGGCTGACTTGTTTGTGTGTGTGTGTGTGTGTACGTGCATGTGTGTGTGAGCATGTGTGTGTGAAGTGAGGTCCAAAATCCTCCCCAGCCTCCTCTCCTCTTTGGTGAAGGCAGAGATTACACCCTCCCTCTCTTTCCTCCCGCCTCTGGCTGCTTTATTTGGAGACCTTCTAAGAGTTTCGCCTCCTGTCTTTAACATTGACCTTTACTGGCTTGCTTGCCCACCCCACCATTTTTTTTTTTAAATTTGTCTCACTCGCTCAGCCAAACCTGGACTTTCTTCTTCCTCATCCTACTCGTTGCCAATGTCCGAAGTTGGGCGAAGTGCCTTTGTAGTTTGCTATTACTTTGTGCTTTTTTGTCATTGGCCAGCTTTGAGACATTGTTCATGCCGTTGTTGTATGATAACATCCCTCCATTATCTTAACCGCTTTTTCCTCACGAGGGTCGCGGGCGTGCTGGAGCCTATCCGGGCTGTCTTCGAGCAGTCGGCGGGATACGCCCTGAACTGGTTGCCAGCCAATCAGATGTCAATCGATGACCGTTGAATAAGTGTGTTTTTTCCGAAGCGGGGATCAAACCGGTAGCCCTTTGCATTAGCATATTTACAGTAAAGCATTGCTACAGTAACTATTAACGTGCCCCGACGCTGAGTGACTCGGCGAACCCAAAAATGAGCAGAAGTCTGTCAGAATGTCGTCTGAGTCCCCTTCACACGGTCAAGTGGGAATAAACACCAACACGGAAGCCCTTTTGATGCGATGGGATTTGTAGAAAGTTATAAGCTGTTTTGGTGGAAGTCCCCTTTTATTACACACTAGAGAAAAACAAGTGGGCTTTAATGTCAGGAGATGATTATGGTCTACGCGCCAGGACATCCCGGTGATGTGGCTGGCGAAAGCCACGCTGAGTCACATAGCCCGCGATAGGACGCGCATGCAGTGCGACTGACACGCACCCATATGGCTGCAGTGAAGAAGAAAAAAAATACATTCAGGATATTTTCATCCTACGTGTGCATTTTAATTTGTCGTGAGTTAATTTTAGGACCACCAAAAAGAAAATAAAAAAATCGCTTTGAACAATAAGTTTGGGGTACCATTTGAAAAAAACAAAATTCTGCTGAGTTAGATTTTTATGC